TTTTTTTTTTTTGGACAAAGACCCCCGCCAGTGATAGTGATGCTGATAAAAGCAGTCACCACTAGCACGTGGACCATGGTCCCACTAGCAACTGGATAGGATAGAAAAGAGTTTGTGTGGCAGTTGAGTGAGCCAAATCCTGTCGTGCAGCCCTCGTGATCCCACAATCAGTATTTATTTTACATGTATTACCCGAAAAAGTAAGAGGTTGTGTGACTCCGAAGCACCGTAGATCGGACTGGATATCTGCGGTGTGTTTTTATTTGTATTTATGCACCGGGACATATGTGTGTTTTGGGGGGCTCCCATTGGGTGGTATTTCTTTTCTTTTTGAACAAGTGTTCCTCTTGGGGTCCCAAACGTGAGTGGGAATCATAACAATTTTTTTTGTGATGATTTTCACACACCTTTACTCACCTTTGTCTCATTGGCCATGCTTGGAAGACAGGTAGAAGTGATTGTGGTTTGGGAGGTGTTTTGGAGGGTTCGATCCTCTCACCTACAGCAAATGCTGTATGCAGTTACTCTTGCCCTCCTTTCTCAAAGAGAAGTTATGTCAGAACAACCCAGTAACGTGTAATGTGGCCCATTTCAAGGAAACCTCAGAGTATTGTCAATGAATATGGTTCATGTGCTGGCTCACATACAATTGTTTCGACTGCCAAGCCATGGTCAGTGAATCATGCCCTGACATCTGACACCCCGGCTGGAGCAGACACCATCTGTGAGAAGAGCACTTTCTTTTCTGTTTTTGATTTTATTCCATCATTTGTATAGTCATGAAAGGGTTTTTTGCATTTATTTTCCCTATTTCACGCTGCCACCCACCTGTCCCCACTCGTCCCACACCCGTCACACTAATCGAAATCCATGTGTAGTGGGATCTCCCTCCAGGAGGGAGATCCCATTAGCCAAGTATGTGGATTAGTGTGACGGGTGTGGGACGAGTGGGGGACAGGTGGGTGGCAGCGTGAAATATGAAAAATAAACGAAAAAAAACATTTCATGACCAAACAAATGAAGAAAAAACTGCTAAAAAAAAAAAGAAAGTGCTCTTCTCACAGATGGTGTCTGCTCCAGGCGGGGTGTCAGATGTCAGGGTATGATTCACTGACCATGGCTGTGGCAATCAAGACGACTGCATGTGAGTGGGCACACGGACCATACTCATTGACAATAGTGTGAGGCTTCCTTGAAATAGGCTGCAGTGCGCGCTGTTCGGTTGTTCTGACATAAATTCTTTTTTGCAAGGACAAAAATTCTTTTTGGCAAAGAAGGGCAAGAGTAACTCCATACACCATTTGTTGTAGGTGAGGGGATCAAACCCTCCCAAACACCTCCCAAACCACGATCTATTTCCAGTGATGAAGCCATTCATTTTGGCCTTCTTCATGAGTGAAACGTGTGTGATTTCACGAACCAAAAAACTTGGTTGTGATTTCACACACGTTTGGGACAGCCACAGGATCCCAACAACAAAAACAAAAGAAAAAGTTACGAATGGGAGAGCAAAAAAAAACATCCTTTTCCCGGGCTTAATTCACTAAAACAGGCTACCGCTGATTTCCTGCCAAATCCACGATGCCTGACAGTCACACACCTTAAACAGTAATAAACACTAATCCTTATACATCGGTAGTGGGATCTCCCTCCTGGACCCACTAGCGAAGTATTCTACGATGTGTGACACAATTTTATGGTTTTTTGGAAAAGAGAAAGTGATTTTTTTAGCATGAATGGATGGTTTTCTGATTTAAAATGAATTGAAATAGCACATAAAACAAAGAAGAACAGTTGTCCACCCGAATTCATGGGTTGGTATGACCTCCTTCACGTAAGTCTTCATAGTGATGTACCGTGGCAATAAAACGTGTCTACGAACACAACCACGAGGATGAACAAGTAACGGGTGTGGGGATGCATTCATCACCATGTATCTCATGATGCCTCTAACAGGCCATCCGACAGATGCGGAGACGTTCCTGTCAGATCCGCCCATAATATTTGAATTTCACATTTCAAGTTCAATTTCTCATAGCCGAAAAAAAAAAAAAAAAAACCGAAGTCTGGAAATCACCCCCCCACCTTTCGAGCCCATAAAATTCAGACTTCCCGCCCATGCAAAGCCACGAGCTATCATGTCCCATTGGACTTCTCGTGGTTTTTCTTTGTTTTTCGAGGCATTTTATTGGACGGAGTTGGGCATCTTTACAGTCCCCGCTCGGAAACTAGCATGCCATCGAGATTCGATGTATTTGACGACCGTACTGCATCACTCGAGGCCACACGTGATCAAAATCCTGAACGGAGTGGTTGAATACTTTGCTAATGGGTCCACACCCCTGGGCGTGCCGGTGCAAAGGAAGCTTCCCGCCGAAATCTTTTCAATCCATTGGGGGTATTGCCAACCCCAAAAGAAAGTGGGGTCGGCCATAGGCCCACTGGATAGAAGATCTTCAGTATTTTGCTTGCTGTTGTGCAATTTTCTCATTGGGTGGAACCCTCCTTCAATCACGGAGTAGGATCACTGCTGACAGAAGTTCAGTTTATTCCAGTAAATGTGGCAGTTACTTTGTTCATTATTGTTGCAACCACCACAGCTGGGAAGCACTCTGCCGTGATTTCCGGTGGGTGGTCTCTGTTTTTTTTTTGCCTTTTTGCCTCTCCTGTTTTTTTCAGCCCAGAAATTCGTAATGAATCTGTCTCCCCGTTGCCACTCAGTGTCACACTGGATAGGCCACACTCCTATCAGACTGCTAATGGGACCATGCTCCTGGGGAGCAGCTCCATCTATAATCGGGGAGCATCACCTGCTGGAAAACAGGTTCAGCGTCCGATATTAGAGAACTTCAGAATATGAGATTGTTGAGGGAACCTGCCAGCATTGATTATCCTGGGAACCAGGGGATTGACTGAGCAGGATATTTGGGACGGGGGGGGAAAGAATCAAGCGGCAACTTTGGCAGGCGGGTCCCGTCCCGCAGCAGTACATCCGAGCCTGTTTTTTGTCGACCCTGAATTTCACAGCGTGCCGAGTTTGAGGAGCCTGGGTACCACTCCATTTTCTTTCCGGTACTCACACGGAAAGATAAGAAAAAAAAAAAAAACAGTTGTGGAAGTGAACATCAGAAAATAAAAAAAAAAGGAAACAAAGCTTTGGCTGTGATTGCAGCTGTGTAGATTCTTGGAAGTCATAGTGTGAGTGTGCCCTCAGTGATGGCGTATCAGCCCCGTGGCCAGATTGTCAGATTCGAAAAACAGAATAGAAGGGGGAAAAAACGGGCACACGGATCCGACCCTGAAAACGGCTGGATACATTTCCGTAAGTACCAATGTGATGGCCGTTACAATTCTCTCACAAAATGCAGCTTGAGCAGATCACGGGCAGCTTGAGCAATTCAAGGATTCCGCCCTGCCTCATTGGTAGGGGACTCGTAAGAAACACACGACAAAAAAAAAAAAGAAAACAGCAACATTCGTCTGTGACCGCCTTACCTGTAAGGTACATTCTGTAGAGGAAGATTGTGAGCACGACCTCCTAGATTACCCTGCCCGACATCATTGCAGTACAACAATTTTTTTTCTTTCTCTTTTCCTTTCACAAGCAGGCAAAAGAAAACTAAGATTTATGAGACTTACCGACCCTCGGTCCCACCCCCGTTTTCTTCGGGGAACGACCACTACATCGTAATTTCCCAACACTAGGCGAGGCACTGGGGATCATGAAAAAAAAGGTTATCTTTATGTGCCCCTTTTGTGTTTCTTTCTTTTCGTTTCACTTTTTTTTTCTTTTGTTTGTCTTTTCTGGGCGCTGTATATCAGGCCAACCATCGCTTTGTTTCTCTTTTTTCCTTTTCTTTTTGGTCGCTGCAGTGGCTGTCTTTCCCTTTTTTTTTTTTTTCATTCCCTCGCTTTTGGTGCCGCTTTCCTCTTTTTGGCCGCTGCAACGGCCCTCGTCCCTTTTTTTTTTTTTTTTTTTCGTTTGGTCAGTTCCGATGCAGGCAGTCTGTCGCGTCCCTTTTTTTTCTTTCTTTGGTCAGTTCCGGTGGAGACAGTCTGTCGCGTTGCCGCTGCTCGCTTCTTTTCTTTTTTCGCTTTCACAATTGCTTCTTTTCTTTTTTCACTTTCCCGCTTTCTTTTTTTTTTTTCGTTTTCGTCGCGCTCCCATTTTTCCTGCTCGCGTTAGCGACAACTTTTTTCGTTTTTGTCGCGCTCCTACTTTTCCTGCTTGCGTTAGCGGCAAAAGGCATTAGGGCGGCGCAGGCAGCCGCAACAACAACCATACACATCCACACATCCACGCGTCCACGCCCACGCCCACGCACACGCACACGGCTACATTTTCCTTCTTTTTTTTTCGTTCCGTCGCTTTCGGCGGCGCTTTCCCCTTTTCGACGGCTGCAGCGGTCGTCGTCCCCCGCCGCGGAAGCAACCATCCAAAGCCACACACCCACGCCGACACCCACATTTCCCCCTTTTCGTTTTTCGTTTCGTCTCTTTCATCTTCGTCCCCCGAGGCAACAGCAACCATCCATACCCACACACCCACGCCCACGCCCACATTTCCCCCTTTTTCTTTCGTTCCGTCGCTTTCGGCGACGCTTTCCCTTTTTGGCCGCTGCAGCGACCGTCGTTCCCCGCCGCGGAAACATGCAAAACCACACACCCACGCCCACGCCCACATTCCCCCCTTTTCTTTTTTCGTTTCGTCTCTTTCGGCTTCGTCCCCCGACGCAACAACAACCATCCCTACACACGCAGCCACACCCACACCTACATTTCTCCCTTTTTTTATTTCGTTCCGTCGCTTTCGGCGCTGCTTTCCACTTTTTGGCCGCTGCTGCAATGGTAGGCGGGTCTTGCCAACACTGAGTCTTCCGCACCCTCATAACTATTATGAGGCGGCTTTTGCAGCAACTGAGTCATAACATTCTGTTTGTTTAGATGTCGCGACCGAGCCACTCCAAGCACCTATACTGATCGAGCCACTCCAAGCACCTATACCGCCCGAGCCACTCCAACCACCTATATCGCCCGAGCCACTCCAAGCACCTATACCGACCGAGTCACTCTAAGCACCTACCCTCCGAGCTACTCCAAGCACCTATCCACCGAGACTCCAAGCACCTATCGACCGAGGACTCCAAGCACCTATACTCACCGAGGCACTCCAAGCACCTATACCAACCGAGCCACGCCAAGCACCTACCGACCGAGCCACTCCAAGCACCTAACGTCCGAGCAACTCCAAACACCTACCGAACGAGCGACTCCAAGCACCAACAGACCAAGCCACTCCAAGCGCCTACCCACCGATTCACTCCAAGCACCTACCGACCGAGCCAATCCAAGCATCTACCAGCCGAGCCACTTTAAGCACCTACCGACCGCGGCTCCCGAAGCACCTACCGGCCGAGCGACTCGAAGCACCTATCGATCGAGCCACTGCAAACACCTACTGACCGACCCACTCCAACCACCTACAGACCGAGCCGCTCCAACCACCTACACACCGAGCCACTCCAAGCACCTACCCAC